CATATAAACTTCATTTTACTTCTCAAATATCACTGTTTGTTCTCTATATGATATATTTAACTGATGTTTTTAATCCAAACAATCAGTGATTTATAAGGTAAATCAGGAAAATTAACAAGGCTGCTCAAACCTTTTCACCCCACTGTACCTGATCAGCAGCATCTGGCTGCCAATCAACCTCTTTAATCCTGTGGAAGCAGAAAAAGTAGACTTAGTTTGTTTTTCTACTCAAGCTTTTCTATTTTCTGGGTTTGTTTTTGTTTACGATACAGTGGAACATTTTGTGTGTTTTTGTTTAAACACAGTGGAACATTTTGTGTGTTTTTGTTTAAACACAGTGGAACACGTTGTGTGTTTTTGTGCCCCTGAGGTTAGATTAAACTGATAAATTTACAATGTGGTAATCAATAAATGATTGTTATATTGTCCTGACATGTTAAACTGTGTAACAGAAACACAATGAATAGTCTTTTTTCACCCATAACTGTAGTTATAGATGTAAAAGATGAGTGAGAGCTGCAGTCACAGGTGGAACAGCTGTGAGCAGACACACAACTGTTACAGCTGTTACATTAACATGCAGACACACAGCTGTCACACTAACGTGCAGACACACAGCTGTCACAGCTGTGAGCAGACACACAGCTGTTCCAGCTGTCACATTCAGTCAAACATGAATGTATTTTGTAAATCTGTTCAGTTTGAATAAAGACACACCTGTGTAATCCCTGCAGTCTCCTATCTGAAGAAAAACACACCTTGATGAGATGCTGTGTCGTGTAGAAACCAGCTGGACCAGCTCCAACAACACACACCTTAGGACAACTGGAAGATAAGAAAGCCTTTCCACAGCCTCTGAAGCCTGCAAAATGAAGAGGATAAAGCAGTAATATACTATATGTTCAACAGAAAGATGATTTCAACATATTTATAAAGACTTAAACTTCATGGTACAGGTGCTCCCTGTCAGAAACACTGACATTATTTAGGCTTTATTTTAATCATAATATACACGAGTCTAGAGCCGAACTAAAGAGCAGACTAGCTTTAACAAAAAGTGAGCAGTTTTTTTAAAAAAAGGAGACATGTTTTGCTGCTACACTCCCTGGACAAGTTAAAATCGACTACATTTTGTACGAGGTTCCGTGAGTTGACCCAGGACTCACCGTGGTGGAGTCTGGTCCATCTTTTCCTCCCTAAAGCCCACAGCTTCAGCTCGGTCAGCAGCAGGGCACGGCCGCRCATCTTGTCTCTTTGCAAACACGAGTTGTGTGGCACTTAATGACAAACGAGTTGTGTTGTTGGCAGGTCCCTCCCGCCCTGAGCTCAGCGGTAATGGGATCAAAAGCCAAGGTTTAAAGCTTTATGAGCTAAGAGAGGTTTCACCTGCTGCTGCCTTCACAGCTTCAACAGCTAACTGTGTGTTCAGGTTCACACTGCACTACTGCTACTTTTAAATATAATAACTAAGTTAGAAAACCTACCGGTGATACTTGTGTACCAGCAACAACAGTCCGTGGAAAACAAACCACGTTAGCGCGAAGGTTCCGCAGACACAGATTGACTTGCTTTCTGTCTGTTCTGAGAAGAAGAAAAAAAGTGACTTTTTCCTAATTCTGAGGAAAAAGGTCAGAATTTATTATTATTGTTGTTGTTGTTGTTGTTGTTGTTGTTGTTGTTGTTGTTGTTGTTGTTGTTGTTGTTGTTGTTGT